AGCCACAGTTGTTGTTCAGTTGCTCAGTTGTGTCCAACTCTTTTTGACCCCAGGGACTGCAAAATGCCAGGTTTCCCTGTCCTTCACTGTCTCCTGGAGTTTGTTCAGATTCATGTCCATTAAGTCGATGATGCCATCCAACCATCTCATCCTCTGTCGTCCCCTTCTCCTCCTGCCTTCAATCTTTCCCAGCATCAAGGTCTTTTCTAATGAGTTGGCTCTTCCTATCAGGTGGTCAAAGTATTGGAGCTTCAAATTATGGAGAATTTGAATAAAATTGGCTGGGTTTCATTAAAAAAAAAATTCACCCCTGGAACTCACCACTCTGATTGGACAGTTTGACCATCCTAGCAACCCAGTCCTTCTGATTTTCTTGAGACATTCTTTTTTTTAATAGGTTCAGTTCCTTTCAGTCTCTCAGTCGTGTCTGACTCTTTGCGACCCCATGAGTCGCAGCATGCCAGGCCTCCCTGTCCATCACCAACTTCCGGAGTTTACCCAAACTCATGTCCATTGAGTCGGTGATGCCATCCAACCATCTCATCCTCTGTCATTTTTATAGGTTACTTTTAAAAATTTTATTTTTATTTATTTATTTTTGGCTGTGCTGAGTCTTTGTTGCTGGGAGGGCTTTCTCTAGTTGTGGTGCATGAGTTTATCATTGCAATCGCTTCTCTTGTTGTGGAGCACAGGATCCAGGGTGCGAGGGCTTCAGTAGTTGTGTGAACTCAGTAGTTGCAGCTCCTGGGCTCCAGAGCACAGACTGAACAGTTGTGTCGTATGAGCTTAGTTGCTCCGAGGCATGTGGGATCTTCCAGGATCAGGAATCAAACCTGTATCTCCTGCACTGGCAGATGGATTCTTTACCTCTGAGCCACAGGGAAGCCTCCAGAGATATTCTTGAAGACTGTCCATGAAAGGCATCCTAATAATGTTTTAAGTGAAGGTGCATGTTTATGCCTTGGAAGTTCTTTGAATAAGTAAGTTCTCATATATGTTAAAATGCAAATTTAATTATAACTAATCTATCTTTGAAGATAGATAGGCGAAGAAGATCTCCCACTGGAGGCCAGTAGTTTGAAACTGGTCTGAGCCATTTTGTTGGTGTTTAGTCACTAAGTCATGTCTGACTAGGACATTTTAAACAACTCCAAGAGAAAGTTTTTCTTTATTCAGATGTCAAGCATGACTTCTTAGAAGTTAATGATGTTCACTCCCATTCAATGTTAATTGAGAAGCCTTCCTTCATATGCATAATACAGAGGCTTCTGTATCAAGGAAGCAGAAAAAGATTTTCTAGTTTATTTCTCATGAATTATGCGCTTTTGAAATAGATGATTAGGCTTATTCTGAGGAAGAGGCTACAGAAGTATCTTGTTTACCATCTGAGTTTGAAGGGAAAAAGAGACTTTCATTCTGCCACAAGTTAAGTTAGGTTTCATGTGGGACAGCCCTGTTGTCCCCATGTCTTCAGAGAGTTTCTGGGAAAAAGTAGATTTGGAACTGATTGTGGAAGGAGGAAAAGAAGGCTAGGAAGGCATGAATCTGGCCAATATGAAGTAGATATAACCCTAAGAAAAGGGAGCACTTGTTTAAAAGGAGAAAGAATAATGGGTATAGTGAATGAGGAAACTTCATCAGTGTTGTGGTGCTTGGGCTCCAGAGTACGTGGGCTCAGTAGTTGCAGCTCGCAGGCTTAGTTGCTCCACAGCATGTGGGATCTTGTTCCAGACCTGACCACAGGTTAAAATAAGGCATAAGACCTTTTTAAAGAGCCGGCTTAAGACTAAATACTAAAAAAAAAACTAAGATCCTGGCATCCAGCATGGCATGGCAAATGGAAGGGGAAAAGGTGGAAATAGTGACAAATTTTTTCTTCTTGGGCTCCAAAATCATTGCAGATGGTGACTGCAGCCATGAAATCAGAAGATGATTATTTCTTGGCAGGAAAGCAATGACAAAACCAGACAGTGTATTGAAATGCAGAGGTATTACTCTGCCAGCAAAGGTCCATATAGTCAGGGCTATGGTCTTCCCGTGGTCACGTACAGTTGTGAGAGCTGGACCATAAAGAAGGCAGAATGCCAAAGAATTGATGCCTTCGAACTGTGGTGCTGGAGAAGACTCCTGAAAGTCCATTGGAGAGCAAGGAGATCAAGCAAGTCAATCTTAAGGGAAATCAACCCTGGACATTCACTTGGAGGACTGATATTCAAGCTGAAGCGCTAGGATTCTGGTCATCTGATGTGAACAGACAACTCATTGGAAAAGTCCCTGATGCTGGGAAAAGACCGAGGGCAGAAAGAGAAGAGGGCATCAGAGGATGAGCCGACTGAACGACATCACCAGTGCAATGAAGATGAACTTGAGCAAACTCTGGGAGATGGTGAGGGACAGGGAGGCCTGGCGTGATGCAGTCCATGGGGTTGCAGAGTTGGACATGACTGGGCGACTGAACAACAACAAGAAGAATTTTTAAGCTGATCAGGAGATCATGAAATTTAATGTGGAGGGAAACAAATCTCTGATGCTCTGGATCAGGAAAAAAAATCATCAAGATGAAAGATATCAATTTTACCTGGCAAGGTATTTCATTAGCACCATGCTCTACTGAGCACATCAGTCATGCTCCACCAGGAAGGTGTTTTATAATGAATTCTTTCATTGATTCACTTTCTTTTGGTAAATAAATAAAATCAGAAGATGATCTAAAATATTTAAGAGAATAGACAGCTTTCACATTCAGTAAGTGAGTTTATTTATTTTGTTTATGAGCTTCCTCGATGGCTCAGCAGATCAAGAATCCCCCTGTAATGCAGGAGACACAGGAGATGTGGGTTTGGTCTCTGGGTCAGGAATATCCTCTGGAGGAAGAAATGAAAACCCACTCCAGTATTCTTGCATGGGAAATCCCTTGGACAGAGAAGCCTGGTGGACCATAGTCCATGGAGTCGAAAAGAGTCGGACACGACTTAGCACACACACACACATATTTTATTTATTTGGCTGTGACAGGTCTTAGTTGCGGCACACAGGACATTTGTTGTGTCATGCAGGACCTTTCACTGTGGCTCACGGACTCTCTAGTTGTGGTGCCTGGGCTCTGGCGTGCACAGGCTGTCGCTGCAGCTCTCTGGCTTAGTTGCTCCTCCGCATGCGGGGATCTTAATTCCCCCACCAAGGATGGAAACTTTCTCTCATCCCCTGCATTGCAAGGTGGATTCCTAACCACTGGACCACCAGGGAAGTCTCAGTAAGTGTGTTTAGATCTTCAAATACTACTTAGTAAATTGATTAATTGACTGCAACATGGTAATCATGGGCTTCCCAGGTGGTGCTAGTGGTAAAGAATCCGCCTGGCAATGCAGGAGACACAAGAGATGTGGGTTCAATCCCCAATCCAGGAAGATCCCCTGGAGGAGGAAATGGCAACCCACTCCGGGATACTTGCCTGGGAAATACCATTGACAGAGGAGGCTGGCAGGCTACAGTCCATGGGGCCGCAAAGAGTTGGACATGACTGAGCAACTAAGAACACAAGCTAATCATAAATAGTTTTATCTGTTCTTTTAAGTGGTTCCTCATGGATCCCAACTCAGAAGATGATTGGGGTGTTTAGTGTTATGTGAATTGCTGCATAAACTCAAAAGAATTGATGTTTTCATAAAGATATTCTATAGTTTTCATAAAATTATATTTTCCTGGATTCATCTTTCTGGAGTTGGTCACTCATGGTGCATGCTACTGTTCCCTAGCTGCCCGGAGCATAATTCCCTGCCCACAGTGTCTCACTGAGGGAGCAGACATATGCAGTCAAGTCTGTACCACATGACCACTGCCAAACACAGCCGAACAGACCAGTGGTGAGTACCGGGCCCAAGGGCAGCCAGTCCACAGGGTGATTACAAGTTAACAGGTGCACCACTGCAAAAGAGCACCCAATCAGAGACACTGGCCATCAGCCGGACCAATCAGAGTCTCTCTCAGGAATCCCAATGACGTCATACAGGGAGAAAATGAGTCAGCTGGTAGTAGGTGGATGGATAAGTAAAAATGCCACAAAAGGAAATAGTGAGGGAAGTGTCAAAGGGTTAGGAGAGGAGTGGTTGTGGGACTGGGACAGGAGGAAACAGGGTCCCCTCAGCACCTGCCAGTATTCCGTCTCTATGAAGCTGGATGAGTGACTGTAGCGGGTTCCCAGCGAGGCTTTTCTCTCTTTCCTGAAACGTGTAAGCCTACAATTCCATTCCTCAGACAGCCTGAAGAAGACACTTTGCAGCCTTACAACCCCCCAAATCTAACTACCACATGGTCCAAAGTTTGATCAAATAAAATGAGGATAAGCCTCAGAGGCAATCTGGTACGAAGAGGTTCAATTTTACCTTTACTAATTTTAGGGAAAACATCTTGGGAAACAGCATTAGCCATCCTATATGTCTTTAATGGGTTTACTGAAATTTGTCAGCTGACTCAAACACCTGTTACCTTTGAAACTAAATGAAACAAAATTGTGTTGAAGGTGTTGTTGTCATCATTTTGGGGATAAAAACTAGGAGGATGGGTGACAATGCTGCAATCCTTTATGAGCATCAACTCAGTGGCTCTTATCTGGCTGTTACTGGTTCATCAAAGCAGATCACTGACCTCAGTCATGTCTACGCCATACTTGCTGTCGTGGGAGTTCTTATGCTGTGGGAGAAACCTGCTGGATTGCAAGCCCATGAAATGTACAATTGTGGAGATCCTGAGGGTTCTGCTATGACATTTATTGCAAATTCTGGGTCAATCATATTTAGGGGCCCCTTTTAAAAAAATGGCTAGAGGAGTAATCCAATAGTAAGTTGCTACTGCCATCTGTACTTTGTTACATTAGCACGACCCTAAGTTCATCAAACTGAGGTCTTTTGGTCTCATTAGTAAGAGGCGCCAACTTGTCCTAGCATTGCTGGGGAAGAGAATCTTTCAGTTACATGAATGAAGAAAGAGACACATAGTCATGGTAGGGTGGCCAGAAAGATTGTAATTATGCTTGAAGGGCAGTGTCCTGATGAAGGGCCCCAGATGGATGGAGAGGAGCAGGAGGCAGGGAAGGAAGGATGCTTTGTTGGCAGGTAGGCTTCCCACTTGCCCAGCGGGGTGACAGGATGATCTTCTGGGTTTTCACGACTCATGTTTTCTGTGGACTTTATAATTCTGCATCTTGCTGGGGGCTTCCTTTAGCCCATGGAATGAGATATTTCTATGTGGCATCAACAATCTGCAACAGAAGAAATGCCATCAATAGCTTTCTCAGCCAACATAGGGGATGATACTCTGCAAAACTATGCCCGAAATATTATCATTTCACCATCATTTAATCCTTTGTTAATGAAACAAAAAAGAAAAAAAAATGTTGAGTCTACCCACATCATTTTTGCTCTTAGCCATTAATAAGAATCTGTTTGCAAAATTACTGGAAGTTGAAAGTAACCCAAGAAGTTCTTGGTGGGGATAGTGAAGATTTTCTCATCGTGTAAATACCCTCTGGAGGCTTAATTACAGCAAATGATATAGCTATGTCCTGGCCTGTGTGTCATTCCAGAGAAGGGCAACGTCAGATAACAGACCAAAGGGATTAACCTAGTTACAGTTGCCTAGTGCAGTTCATTGAACGAGCAGTCTGGGCATGGCTTTCTCTCTTGGATCTTAGTGACTTCTGACCCCATAATACAAGTGTGTCCCAAAGTGATTTGCTCTTAGCCATTAATAAGAATCTGTTTGCAAAATTACTGGAAGTTGAAAGTAACCCAAGAAGTTCTTGGTGGGGATAGTGAAGATTTTCTCATCGTGTAAATACCCTCTGGAGGCTTAATTACAGCAAATGATATAGCTATGTCCTGGCCTGTGTGTCATTCCAGAGAAAGGCAACGTCAGACAACAGACCAAAGGGATTAACCTAGTTACAGTTGCCTAGTGCAGTTCATTGAACGAGCAGTCTGGGCATGGCTTTCTCTCTTGGATCTTAGTGACTTCTGACCCCATAATACAAGTGTGTCCCAAAGTGCTATTTTTGGCTGTTTGGCTTTGTTTGTCTTCAAGCCATCATGGCACAAATGTAAATTAACTCTGGTTCTACTCAGCAGTGTCCCTGTTTTTGCAGGCATAAAATGGGTGCACCCATCTGGGCGCCCAGATGATGCTGACAGACCCAGCCCAGTTCTTGGGGCGGCCCAGACAGTGACTCAGAGAGGCAGTCAGCATGGTCCAGGAGATGCGTTTAGACAACCGATGCTAAAAACAGTTCCTACACTCATGCATATTTCTAATCTCCCTCCCCCTTGTCCCCAAGGCGAAAAGTGAGCTTGCTCCTCTTCACTCTCACATGAACCCTTCAAGCTGCCATTTCTTTCAGGGACATTCACCTGCATCAGAATTTATTGCCAATGGCAGTGGCAGTGGGGCTTGGGAATGGTTTGGGAAGAAGCAAAAGGCAGGATTTAGCTTCATTGTGCTGCCTTGATGTGGATTCAGTCTGGATGGCTCAGGCTCCGCAGGTCTGGAGGAATGACCCTGCCCTGTCTATCTTCTATTGAGTCAGGAAAGCCACTGGAGAGGAAGCCTGATAGCTCGCCTGAGGAAGTGGGCTTCCTCCGTCCCTCCCTGGAGAATGCAGATGAGCACATTTACCTGCAGCTGAGTGGGGGCTACCATACGCAGTTAATGCTACATCCTCCTCAGCGCCATCACTGTCTCGGGCTGAAAGCCAAAGGGGGGAAGGTCTGGGTTAGTGTCAGAGGTTCACCTGGAAACAGCACTTTAGGAGGGTGGGGCTCAGTGGCTTGCAAGAGGCTCCTTCCTTTAAAAATAAATTCTCCACTGAGGCTACTTTTTTTTGTGTGTGTGATTTATAAAAGAGCATTGTTAAAGCTTTGGAGGAAGGTTGCATACAGATCACAATTGTGTACGCAGAAGTACCTCTGTGCTTAGTTAACTGAAGGAGCTGAAGCCTCATCGTCACTTTCTATGGTGAGCAAAAGTTGGTACTTGCAGGAAGGAAAATAATCTGAAGGGCTTGTGTTGGCAAGAACGTTTTTCTCCTGTTTTCCATCATTTGCTGTTCATTGACTCGTTCTTTACATGGCATAGCCTCATTGTTTCTGTCTTAATACCTTCCAAAAAAATCATACTAGATTTGTCTGTAGATATTTAAACAAGGGATAGAAAAAAATATCCACAATAATGTGATTCTTTAAAAATGCACATGGGTCTTGGTTTTAGCGAACTTGATAAAACAATTTTCTAAGTAATCTAAAACAGATAAAGTAGGCACTACTAGAATAGCAGCTTTCCTTTCATAAAAAAAGGTTCATGTCTGATATTCTAGATTTTTATTGCTTTTATTTATTTATTTATTGCCACATCCCAAGGCATGTGGGATCTTAGTTCCCTGACCAGGGATTGAACCCCCACTACCTGCAATGGAAGCATGGAGTCTTAACCACTGGACCACCAGGGAAGTCCCCCTGATAGTCTAGCTTTAGGATCTTTGCAAAAGATATCACACTAAAAAAAAAAAAAAAAGATATCACACTAAAAATTCTCAGTTAAAAGAGCAATTGATTTTAAAAATTCAGTCGATACGCAGTTTTTCAGGAACATGTTTATATCACAGGGCACAGACTATTTATACCCATTTGCTTGGTGTTTTGTAGTAATATGCCTGATTGGATTTTTATTCTTCATCTAGATGTTTTTATATTTTGAGCTAAGTCCATATATCACTTTAGAGAGAATCTTTAAAGACTAATCTTTTGAAAGACTTCCAGGGAAATGAAATCCTTAATCCCCTTTGCTGATTTATTTCAGTGTACCAACTCTTTGCATTTAATCTGAATGCTTTGCGCTTCCATTTGAGTCTATTTCTACCATTCATCTTTAGCTGGAGACAGGAAACAGGACAGCAGCCTCTTGGGGAGAAGTCATCATGTGTATGAAATTCCCTGCTAATCCCCTCTTGTTTTACTCTTCTCTTAACTGATTAATTCTGGCCTCAGAACCCAGTGGTAAATCAAATAATTATGTGACTGCAATCACAGCTATAAATCAGAAGACACACATGACAAATGCATGCCTCACAGACTGGAACAAAATGTGTTTTGGTGCAGAATTTAGAGAGAACCTGAATGTTCGTGAGAAAGGCACCTAAAGCTTAAGAACTACCATCTCCCTTTCATCTTCTTCACCTTCCCACGTAGGTCTATTGTTCTAACCCCTTCATCATCTTGGAGGTTTTCCACCAAGTCTCTCCAGATGCCCACACTTCTCCTCGTGGATCCCAGAGCTGGAATGGATATTCTTGTCAGGGACTGACCGACGCTGAGAACAAAGGCCTGACTGTTCTTGCTGACCGCACATCTGTCTACACAGCACTGCGACTGTTTCCTGAGCAGACAAAACCAAACACAGCTGTGAGCTGCTCCCCCACTGCCAACTCTTGACCCACAGCAACACTTAGAATTTTTTACATTATTGTTATTACATTGTACTGCTCTGGGTCTTATCTATCTTGCATCTCTTTGTATGTTTTTTTCCGAGCTAGGTGTCATCTCATACATTTTCCTGAGTTTGAATCATTCTTCTAATTTTTGACATCTGTACTTTTTTCCAGGTGACCTACATCCTGATTCCCTTCTCTAAGCTTAAGTTTCTGGTTATTCCACCCAGTTTTGGAGAGCAATCTACATGTTCTTTTCTACACCATCGGTTTTTCTTCCCACAAAATATCAAATTACATTGACAGACTATCTCTGGCAGAAATGGATTTTCTACCAATGCTCTAGTAATAAGGATAGTTATAAGGAAACACTGTGCTTTTGAAACCTCTTGTTTTTCCATAGGACATTTCTTAGAACACTAAATACCTGCCTAATCTTTGGGGGGTATGGAAAATTGATCACTACAGGTCCCAATGTGTTTTGGGTATTATGAAACACCAAGAACTCTCTTTCTCTGATTTTGTTTCCTAGAGACATATGACAGCAAACAAAGAAGACACAGAAGTTTTATCCTATTTTTTGGTGAGAACTATGAGAAGTCGTTTCAAGAAAGATTGACTCTGCAATTTTGCCACGAACCTCACATCATCAAAAGTAATGAGAAACTCATATAGGAAGGATGTATAGTCTCAATTTCCGATTCATGGTCAACTGAACTGAACAGAATTAATGGATGCAGCTATCTGAACAGGAATTAATTTGAATGTGTAATTAGCCATAGATTACATCTCAAAAAGTGTACGACTTAACAGGAAAGCTTCTATTAATTTTTTTGAGCCTGGTGAATATAATGTGCATATGTAAAATAACATCATCTTTGCACATTAGAAATACATTGTGAGAAATCAGATGCCTATTAAGACACAGAAATGGATGTAAAACTGTGATATTGGGTTATGAATAATGGGCCAGATGTTTCAGAAAGGAATTAATGAGTTTTGATGTCTTTCCAGATCACTGATATTAGCCATTTATTCCCCCAGGTTATTGGAGTCCAAATCTCCTTGTTATCATGGATAATACATTTTATTCTTTAACAATGTATAGTCAGGTGACTTGGTCTTACATAAGGATTCAAATCTGACCCAGAAATTATTATGAAAATGTCACATAAGCAAGTTCTTGATTTCCATTAATGATTACACATCTGAGCTTCTGCTCTGAATTCTCACTTAATGGCACTTCCTGTCACTTTTTGTAAACCTTGAAGGCTCTCAAGAAGTGAATGGTTTGCAAAGTAGACATCCAGAAGTTATTAGGCTTTGTGACTCTAATGAGATAATGAGTCGTACGAATCAGTCTACTATGATGTTTGGGGAAGTTAATTTTGAGACTTAAATTTTAAAAATGTCAGTCACTGCTGCCAGGGGTGACTTTTGCACCTGATGGCCAAAATATCTGGACTTAGCACGCTATGTCATGCAAGGGCACGACCAAAGCCTAATTTGGGGCTGGTAAACTCATTTTATAGTGGGTGCCTTTCTTTATCCAGTAAGAATACTCAGAGCCACACCCTCTTTATTTAGGACCTCTGAGTCATTTCTGTCTTGGCCTCTCCTCATGAATCTCTGTATTCTGGATTAACTGATTTTTCAGAAAAGTTTAACCCTGACTCTGTCTGCCTCTCTAGGCTTGAGCTATTTAGTTACCTCCCTAAGTCTTCCCTGGCGGTCCAGTCAGTAAAGAGTCTGCCTGCAATGCGGAAGACCTGGGTTCAATCCCTGGGTCGGGCAGATCCTGTGGAGGAGGAAATGGCAACCCACTCCAGTACTCTTGCCTGGAGAATCCCATTGACAGAGGAGCCTGGTGGGCTACAGTCCATGGGGTCGCAAAGAATCAGACACGACTGAGCAACTAACGCTAGATCCTGACCATTCCCTCTTTGTTCCTTCCTGCTTTATCCTCTGGCCCTGTTTTTCCTCCTGCTTTGCTCACAGGAGAGCCTTCCCGAGTTCCCCAGAGAGTACCTCTTGAGAGCTCCTGGGTCTCTGCTCTGAAGCTGCGTTCGTAAGTCGGGAGCGGGCAGGCATTGCTTGGCAGGGGGCAATCCTGCTGACATGATCGGTAGAGAATGCACAGCTCCGGGACGATGTACAGCAGCAGGAAAACCCACGCGTTGGTGACCAGGGCGATGCAGATGACGGGGTCGTCCCACTGGGGCTGCCGCTGGAGCTGTGTGTTGCCCCTCATGAGCATGGAGATCCACACCACCCAGATGATGATGGAGACGAGCACCGTGACAAAGATGAACCTGCCGTGCTGCTTCCAGTTCTCACAAGGGCCGCAGAAGGTGGTCTTGGAGACAAAGAACGTGAGGGCCATCAGGAAGAGGACGTAGATCAGGAGGACCACGAAGTCCACGTTGAGCTGATAGGGCGTCATGTGCACAAACATGCCACCCCTGGTCATGATGAGAGTCACGTACTCAATGGCGATGATGGTCTGCAGCAGGCTGACCCCAATAGCAATGCACAGAATTGTCGTCCAAGAGAAGGAGACTCGACCCCGGACCAGCTTCACGAGGTTGGAGGCGTGAGCCAAGAGGCACGAGAAGCAGAGAGCAAAGAGGACCCCAAAGAGAAAGTAGCGGATGGGGGCAGTCTGCTGATTGAGCTGGATGATGAAGGCAAAAGCAAGGCCAAAGAGCCCTAGCACACCCAGGAGGAAGAGGAACTGGGTGGGGAGGACATTCCAGTGGGCACAGTCTTGGACCCTTCTCATGAGGAAGAGAAATGCCAGGAGCAGCAGAACTGTGACCACTATGCCGACTGCTGCCAGGGACTCCAGAACGATGCCCCATGCTCCCTCAGTGTCACAGAGGAAGTAATAGTCCCCCGTGGACTCCTTGCAGTCCTCATACATGGTGACTTGTTGGTACCTCACTAGAACAATCTTCTGTTCCCCTGCAAAAAAAAACCCAAGATGAAACAAACACGACTTTACCTTCACCCACAAGAACGTCTGCTGGGTAGTCCTGGACAGGACACTACAATATCTCTGATACCCAGATGAAGATGCCTGGACACATTGAATGAAATAGCTCAGAACTATCCACCCCTCAAAACTATCCTAGCTCCGTCCTGCTAGGAAAGGAGAACCATCTTCATTTGAGGCCTCTGGATCATTCATGAATTTCATGTCATAATTTCCACCAAGGCTTTTTGAAGCCTAAGGCAGAATTTTTTTCATAAAGATGGGGTGTATGAGAACATCTGCATGGTTGCTGGACTCCGGTTACAGCAGGCCCCAGAAAAAGGGTTGCCAACATTAATGGACCATTTGATCATTCAAGACATGAGGTGCTGCTCAAAGGAGACAGGCTCTTCCCGGTCATTTTAATCACTGTTCCTTCTTTTAATTCAAGTCAATCCAACACATTATGCTTAAATACCCACTGTTCATTTGTCAAAGAATTTTACAAAGTGGTCTCTGCCCTCATTAATTTTTTTGGAGAGTGTAGCACCAAACTGTCTTGAGTAGGGTTGTCTAGAAAAAAAAATCACACATATTCATTTGGAAACAAGTATCTAGCAGCTGAATACCCCCCAATTCCACTCCCCTCTGGCTATTCCCAAGCCAGCTGGCTTGAGTGACCCAGGCCAACAGCTGAGGGCATGGTCCCTTCATTCCCACTTACCTCCTCTGTGTCCACGCTGGAGGCTGAGGCTGTAGTGGCTGCGAGGTTGTAACTGCCAGTGAGTAAGAAAGAGACAACCTCAGTGTCTTTAATCTCTCCCCAAATGGGCGGAAGGATGGAGGCACCCACTGGGGTTCCTACAGCGCCTATAAAAAGAACCGGAAGGTCAGAAAGACACACCTATTCAAGTTTCCCAGCAGCCTGTCTACACAGATTTCTTTGGTGAGAACAACTGTTTCTCATTTTACTGCTAACCAGAGGCACCTTGACCTTAGGGAGGTCCTGAAGGGGGGTGTGGCTTTATGAAAGACCGCCTCTTCCCCACAGGTGCTGATGTGATGGGGGGCTGCAAAAGGCCTTCCCTTGGCCACATGAGGACACGTCATTCTTCTTCTGACCTACTCCCTACAAAGAGCTTCTCAAGTGGCTCGGTGGTAAAGAATCTGCCCGCAATGCAGGAGACTCAGGTTCTATCCCTGGGTCAGGAAGATCCCCTGGAAAAGGAAATGGTAACCCACTCCAGTGTTCTTGCCTGGAAAATTCCATGGAGAGAGGAGACTGGTGGGATACAGTTCATGAGGTTGTAAGAGTTGGACATGACTTAGTGACTAAACCACCACCACCACTCCCTACAAAGCCATCTCCAGAGTCTTTCCCACATCTTGATTTTGATCTTAAGATCCAAAGGAGCATCCTTTCCAAAGGAATCAAAGGTTGGCTGAGCCATAAACGATTAGAAGGATCATGCACATTAAAAGGTCCATTGGTTGCCATCTCTGTGACTTCAGGGAAATTTGACTTTTCTACTCTGCCACTTTCCTCTCCTTTGGAGGTCCTTCCCCAAGCTTTGGCTGCCCATAAGGTGGGGGCTCTACCTGGACCAGCTCTTTCGGGATTGCCAAGGCCTTTGGTATAACTTCCCTCTCTCCTTGCTCCCCTCACCCTTATCAGAATGCACTCTTATTGGGTCTCATTCCATTGAGGCTTTCCCAGGACCCAAGACAGAAGAATGTGCAATTAACAGTTCCAGCTTATGTTGGTATAACATATTCTTTTTCTCTTGTGGTGATGTATAATACAGAACACAGGACAGGGTCCAGGCTATCTGACCATAGGCCACCCCTAATCCCCCCTTCAAATTTACTTACTCTTTGGTTCTTTTCCTGGATATTTGCATTTTTAAAAAATGTTTGAAGGTTTTAGTTTCATTCTTAAAATTAATTATCTTTAAAATTTTAATTTAATTTGATCAAAAAAGTTTTATTGGGATATAGTTGATTTACAATGTTGGTTTTATATGTACAGCAAAGTGAATCAATTATCCATACACCTACATCTTCTCTTTCTTTAGATTCTTTTCCTGTATAGGCCATTATAGTATATTGAGTAGAGTTCCCTGTACTGTACAGTAGGTTCCTACTACTTATCTATAATTAATTTCTAAAAATTGAAAATATAGTTGATTTACAATGTTGTGTTATTTCACATCTGAACCACTTGACTGTGTGTATATATATTATTTTTCATATTCTTTTCCATTATGGTTTATTATGGGTTATTGAATATATGGATATTTGCTTCTAAAATATTATTTACTTATTTATTTTTTGGCATGTGGTGTCTTAGTTCCTTGGCCAGGAATTAAACCTGCACCCCTGTAGTAGAAGCATTGAGTATTAATTGGTGAACCACCAGGGAAGCTCCAACAGAGGACTTCTAAAGACCCTAATCAGTACTTTTTAGTGTGGTTTCAAGTCTCCCCATGATCCGGCCCCTCCTTCCACCATCCAACCATATTTCTTTCTCCTCTCCAGGCCTTGTTTTTCTTTCAGGTCAGTTTTCTCCCTCCCATCTGCTCACCTTTTCTTAGAGGTTGTCCCTGTCCTGAACTGCCTTTTATTCTATTCCCATTTATCCTCTGTGCTCGATTCCCATTGATCCTGCTTCTTACCCAAGTACTTTCTCTGCCTCCATGATCTAGTTCATCTTATCTCCTCTGTGAGTGTTCCTTCCTGCCCTCATCACTCTGGCCTTCACTGATCACTACCCAAGACAGAAGAATGTGCAATTAACAGTTCCAGCTTATGTTGGTATAACATATTCTTTTTCTCTTGTGGTGATGTATAATACAGAACACAGGACAGGGTCCAGGCTATCTGACCATAGGCCACCCCTAATCCCCCCTTCAAATTTACTTACTCTTTGGTTCTTTTCCTGGATATTTGCATTTTTAAAAAATGTTTGAAGGTTTTAGTTTCATTCTTAAAATTAATTATCTTTAAAATTTTAATTTAATTTGATCAAAAAAGTTTTATTGGGATATAGTTGATTTACAATGTTGGTTTTATATGTACAGCAAAGTGAATCAATTATCCATACACCTACATCTTCTCTTTCTTTAGATTCTTTTCCTGTATAGGCCATTATAGTATATTGAGTAGAGTTCCCTGTACTGTACAGTAGGTTCCTACTACTTATCTATAATTAATTTCTAAAAATTGAAAATATAGTTGATTTACAATGTTGTGTTATTTCACATCTGAACCACTTGACTATGTGTATATATATTATTTTTCATATTCTTTTCCATTATGGTTTATTATGGGTTATTAAATATATGGATATTTGCTTCTAAAATATTATTTACTTATTTATTTTTTGGCATGTGGTGTCTTAGTTCCTTGGCCAGGAATTAAACCTGCACCCCTGTAGTGGAAGCATCGAGTATTAACTGGTGAACCACCAGGGAAGCTCCAACAGAGGACTTCTAAAGACCCTAATCAGTACTTTTTAGTGTGGTTTCAAGTCTCCCCATGATCCGGCCCCTCCTTCCACCATCCAACCATATTTCTTTCTCCTCTCCAGGCCTTGTTTTTCTTTCAGGTCAGTTTTCTCCCTCCCATCTGCTCACCTTTTCTTAGAGGTTGTCCCTGTCCTGAACTGCCTTTTATTCTATTCCCATTTATCCTCTGTGCTCGATTCCCATTGATCCTGCTTCTTACCCAAGTACTTTCTCTGCCTCCATGATCTAGTTCATCTTATCTCCTCTGTGAGTGTTCCTTCCTGCCCTCATCACTCTGGCCTTCACTGATCACTCCCTCAGGAAACTTCACAGTCTGTACTGTCCAAAGTCATGGAAATAATATTTTCTGCCCATTTGATTTGTATTAATCACTTTATGAAAAAATATAAGAAATAAAATGAATTTAAATAATAAATAATAATAAAACAGAAACAGACTCACAGACTTAGTGAAGGAACTTATGGTTACCAGCGGAGAATGGTGTAGGGAAAGGATAATCGGGGAGTTTGGGATCGATATGTGCACACTGCTATATTTAAAATGGATAACCAACAAGGTCCTACTGTATAGTACAGGGAACTCTGCTCAATGCTATATGGCAGCCTGGAATGAAGGGGCATTTGGTGAGAATGGGTACATGTATAATGTGGTTTCAAGTCTCCTGTGATCTGGGCCATATAGGGCTGGGTCCCTTTGCATTCCACCTGACACTATCACAATATTGTTAATCGGCTATACCCTGATACAAAATAAAAAGTTAAAAAATAATAAATAATAATAAAAACAATTGTCATTGTTGTTGATCAGTTACTAAGTCATGTCTGACTCTGCGATCCCATGGACTGCAGCATGCCAGGCTTCCCTGTTCTTCACCGTCTCCTGGAGTTTGTTCAAACTCAGGTCCGTTGAGTTGGTGATGCCATCCAACCATCTCACCCTCTATCGTCCCCTTTCCCGGCCCTCAATCTTTCCCAACGTCAGGGTCTTTTCCAATAAAAATAATTTCTTAATTTCTTTTATTTGTAATTCATTCCTTTGGTTAGATTTATAGCTGCTTGGGGGTTAGGCTCCACATTTTATGTCCTCATAGCACCTGGCCCTGCAGGAAGCACCTCCTAGGTGATGGATGAACTGATTAATGGAATGTATCTAAGGATAGAATTCCAGGCTGCATGAAGTTACTTTTTAGCAATGTGCTTTTCCAACCCATGCTTTTAAATGGAAGCCACCTTAGATAAGAATCTTAACAAACTCTGGACAAATTCATTCTGAAGTGGTATTCTATCATCTAGAATCTCCTTAACTTTAAAAAGCCAGGTTTTTTTTTTTGTTTGTTTGTTTTTCTGTTTGAGAGAAGACTATTTTAGAGAGAAGCGTCCTCACCTTTACTGGCTTTGGGCACAATCACGGTCTGTCTGAAGCTGTAAAAGCTTATCTATAAAGTTTACATTAAGGGTAAAGGGATTTTCCAGATCCTGAAATACGACGACATCTGGGAGGATTCACCCAAAGACATCTGTGAATGGTGAAGTTGCTGTTAGGCCAGCAGGTGAGGATTTCCTACTGAATTCTTCCAAGATGACCATTTTGGTGACCTTTGGAGGAGAGACAGAGAAGGTCAACCCCTCTGGCTTTAGTCATGGGCATTCCTCACTGTTGTGAGGTTAGAGTTCCTGGCATACTTGTCTTCTAAGGAGATTCCTCCTGACCCCCTGATGGCTTGAGGCAGGTGAATTAATGGGTTAAAGACCACAAAGCCCTTTGAGCACCTTAGATAAAAGAACTGTCTCAGGTACTAATTATTGTTATTTTAAAATCTAGGGTAATAGAGTTAGCCCATCTTCTCCAGGCCCTAAGGAAAGAGGGCTCCCTTTGCCTACACACATTCAAATTACTCACATCTCTTTCCTTTTGTCTTTTATGCTGTGACAACATCACACCAAACAGCTCAGGCTTTGATGAATCAAAGCATATTGATTACAACAAGTCCATTAAAAATGGAGATAAAACTGTCAAGAGGCCAAACGCCTTTTGCCAAACATCTTTCTGTGTTGTTTCCTTCTCCTAGAAACAGAGCTGGAGGGAATGTTAGAGGTGACCTAATCTAACCCTTTCATTAATAATAATAAGGAAGCCACCATAATAATAGGAGGAATTTAACAACAGGGAGGCGGAGGCCCAGAGAAATGAAGGGAGGTACCCAAGAGATGGGATGTTAGGGGAGACAGCCAGCATTGTCTGACTCCTGGTCCCATTCTTGCTGCCGCACCAGGTTACTTTCCTGATATGTTTCATATTGTGAGGACCAGCCCTAAGAGGAATAAGCCCTTAGATGTGGCAAATGG